TTTCACCATTTGCTCGTGGTCCAGATTCACTTTACTATCGGGAACTGCATAGAAATACGGAGAAAAGTCGCTTGTTGTGCTACTGATTGTACTGGAAGGAAGAGACGTCTTCGCTTTACTTTTGGAAGCGCTATTTAATATCGTGTTATACGAACGAAATATTTACCAATTAGGAGTTTGTGTAAATTTTGAATCTGATAATCAGTCCTGCGTTCTATCATAAATGCTATTTTTAACGGCCACACGTTATGGCGACTTAACAGTTCAGGATAACATTTTCGACAACGCAGCAACACAACCGACACAAACAATCCATCAAACGTTAAAAAGGAAAATTCTGGCAACGTCGACTTTCTTTTGTTAGTTGTTTGAACAAAGTAGTCCAAAGTGTCCAGTCTCGAGTCGCGTAAAGTTTTAATAAATGGCTTATAACTCATTAACCGATGAGTTAGTAATAACTCGTCAACTCAGAGGGCGGCAACAACGCAATAGCGCAACTCAACACAGTGTTACCCAGGCCTAAAATGTCGACAAATGTTCATCCAGACGTGCGCTTACTTGTTAGCATCAGAGGTGAGAACTTCGCACTTGTGCTGTTCTGGAACCGTAATCCAATTCCTCGCCATTACGACCATGGAATAGGCGTCCATCAAACCATAGCCAAAACTATGGGACACATTTCTGCCAGCCCCATTCACTTGCCAATCAGTAGCCGTTAAATGCTGTGGCCGGGCGGTGCGCACCACAATATGTTGCATGTCTCTCCAAGTTAAATTCGGATTGGCTTCCAAAGCTAATGCACAAATTCCGGCAGCTAACGGGGCACTAGCACTGGTGCCAGTATGACTRCTAGTGCACGCATGCCGAAGATCCGTCGTAACGACTTGCCGTTCATTTCCTGCACCGCTACTGTAGGTTGAGGCTAAAGTAGAACTACATGCTTCRCTGTACCATGGCACATATCCATGTTCGGTAGCACTAGAAATCGACAGGCTGTAGATTGAGTTCGTATATCCATCACAGTTGCAGTTGTCCTGATCTCGACCTCCATTCCCTGACGCCCAAACGAATATCGAACCCTTCCCGTTTCGGCCCTGCAGTAGATCAAAAAAAATTGTTGCAACTTCCATGGTCCAATCGCGAGATTAAATTATGAAGTTACCTTGGTCACACCCTCAATAAATGCTCTTGTCGCAAGTTCGCCGGGCCCATCAACTGTTTTGCCATCATCATCCGGACCCCAAGAGGCGCTGTATATATCAATGTGCTGCGGATTCAAGCTCAAGCTTCTAGCTTCGACAGCATCGGTAACGTCTCCATCCAGCATCCGAACTCCACCCACATGGGCACCATGGGCAACGCCAAGGGCGCAAATGCTATTATTACTCGTAGCCGCTACTTCGCCCGCACATCTAGTACCATGCCTGTTTGAGTCGATCATGTCGTATCTAGGACTGGGATCAGAATCCTGGTTGTTGACGTCGTATGATGCCAAAGGGTCCTTAAATAAACAGAACTCCCTTGCTGATATTGGACAGAACAATGATGAGGAAGAGTTGTTTTTAATCAAGAGCACACGGATGATGCAGATAAGTTCTATATTGTTGAGGCGGATTCATTTTTTTACAAACTTCTTTTTGGCTATTTTGCCTCAAAAATTTTTGTCTTTAAAAGACAGAATTTCCTCACGTCTTTTGTTACAGATTGATAAATACTGCTCCTATTTCGTAATAAGGACGAATTATTTATCAAGAACGATCACCTAGAGGGTATCCTGCGACACACTTAGGCTCAAGCTGTAAGAGAAAATTCCTATTAGTAGAGAAATTAATTTGAAAAATTACCTTGACGTTTCGATAGCTATTTTCTGCTATCGTTATCAAAAGAACCTAAATGAACCTAAAAGAGTATGTTAATAAATTGTGTAACAATAGTAGGATAATACAATATATGAAAATTCGCTCTGATAATTCGTCTGTGCAAATTGTCAGTTATGTGACTTTGACTTAATCTCATTGTTTAAATTAATAAAGGTAATGTTAATTAATAATTTTGGTGTAAATTTAATTTGGGTGTATGTTTCTCTGGTCTACTTCAGATTTTAGCATAGATAACCATGTATAACTTAAATTAAATGAACATGAAGCAACACAATTATTTTGATTTAGTAAAATTAGTGCGCTTTCTTTAATTTTACGTTTTTTTGTGGATTGTTCTT